ATGTGTCAGGTTATTTGCCAAGTCCAACCACACCCGATAATAATCTGGAAGGTGAGTCTGGAAGATGATAAGAATAAAATTAGATATTCATTGATTTTCCTTTGTTTGGGATTGTATTTGTTGAAGATGTTCACGTAGATCATCACTTCACGTCTGCTGTGGAGAAATAAAAGAAAATCAGCTAACTAAGAGACGAGGGAGGAGAGATGTTATTAGAAGATAAGCTGTTATTTTGTCTTTGGGAAGGAAATACAACTTTTTTCTTTTGCAAGATAACGTGGTAAAAACCAGCCTCTTGTTCCACCCTTTGTTGTGTTCTGTCTCTGGACCCTGAGCTATAGAGAAATGATTGTTTCCTGGACTTTGATTTGGCCATTCTAGTGCTTGATAAGCTTTGATCTGACTCTTCTAGCTCTGGTGCTATGATTACAGTCCTGTTGCAAGCTGAGCTCAGTCTCAAGTCTTTTGAAGCCTGCAACAAGTTTTCCTTCCATGACCCTCCTGTGTTTGGCTCCACATCCTCAACAACATAACGACTCTTCTACAATCGCTCTCTCTGTAGAAGAAAAGCCTAAACCCACCATAGCCTAGTGCCACCACCACAAAAGGCATGGTGCCTTCAGGGTTATGTGCATTATAAGTTTTTCACCTTAAATGCCTTTTTGTAGTTGGATCAATAAGTTCAATCTCACCAAAGCACAGTTTGGTACAAGTTTGCTTTGATCCCTAAACGGCTTGTGGCAAATTTTAAATAGTACTGATTAGTTGCTTCTCTGATTTATTAATTCTTTGCCTGTTGGTTTAGCTGGATGGTCATGTCTTAGTAGGTTTACAGGTGTGCCAAAATGATACACGGGTATATTTGAATGCATATATATTTTTTAGAGCTGTCATTGTAAAGGGAAATATAAGTGCAAGTCACATTCTTCAGGTTTTTCAATGTAAAAAAAGATATATATATATATATATATATATATATATATATATATATATATGAATGGTTTCTTTTCACTTGACAATTATGCACTATTTGTTGTTGGTTGATGTAAAATTCCAGCAAGATACATTGAATCTTTGTGGTTATGATTTGACAAAATATACAAAAATTCATACAGCATGAGACAGAGGCAAAAACAAAAATCTGACAGACCTTTGATCATTTTTTTTAAATGAACTTATTTTTGTACATTACTGCACAGTCACAGTCATGTGAAAGGCTCAACAAAGGCTAGAAACAACAGGCTTCCATCAAATCAATAACCTTCCTTAACGTTACACAAGCCAAGTCAAACTTATCTGTTTCAGTCTGCAGGGATTGCGTGTGCTGCTGACCAAACATTTAGGCTGAGGAGACAGAAGGAATATTTGGGCTCAAAATTTAATAAAAAAAATAACCCTGCTCCTACACAACGGATAATATCGTTATTCTTAGGGCATTTGTTGAATGCCTGTCATTTTAGAAAAGAAAAGATGACAAGAAATATTACCAGTGGCTCTTCAAGGATAAATCCGAGCTCTTCAGATATATCAAATGCATCAAAGTCCGCCTGCAGTGTTTCTCTGTAGTTTGTCTCCATATGCTCTACCCTGAACTCCACCGAAGCAGTTTGGCTTTGAAAGAAAACTCCCCCCGTGTGTGTGTCTGACTCAAAGACAGCAATTGTTTAAACTTGCTCTGAGCTTGCTTCCACTACCTTTGTCACATCCCTTTTTATTGCACTCTCTGTAACTCAAAGAGCCAATCAGATTTCTCGTGCAGAAATGTCAGGGGTTCACAGAGAAAAAAAAAAAAAAAAGAAGCTGAAACTGTGATTTGTGTTGTCTGCATAATTCCTTCCTATTTTGCAGCAGCTGGTGGGAGCAGCAGATGGAAGAACAACAACTGCAGAGAAATAGGTGAAATATTTTAGCTC